AGGCGTTGCTTCATTCGTTTCTTTCAAAGGAGGAGAAGTGCCTTGGTCATCTTGTTGCTCTGAAGCCCAAGTCGGAACCGCCATGTTGGAGGATCCTTTGTTTTGCACCAGGTTACTGGAGTCCCCATGAGGAGAAGAGTTGATGGGAGCAGCAGTCTTTGATGGAGGAGTCGAAGTAGTAGGAGTTGGGTTCAAAATGTCCTACAGAGACAAAGAATATTAAGAGCATGCACCAAGGTAATGAATAACTATTTTTGTTAAAGATTCGAGTTCAATTTACCTGTGGATTCTCAGAGGAAAGGTTACTATCTATATGTTCCAACATTACGTTAGAGGTCGAAGGTGGATTTTTGGATTTTGTTGAGGGAGCAACATCTCTGGAATCGAGTCCAGAAATGCCAGTTGGTTCAGCGCCTTTGGAAACTTCTTTCTTCTGCTTCTTCTTCGAAGCGGTTGGTGAATTCCCTCCAGCATTGGGATTCTTCCCAGTAGTGCTTGGTTTCCTTTTCTTCGGAGTGGTTGGTGGGAGTTTGTTAGTCTGAAAAGATTTAAACATGAGTTAGATCTAAATCATGAAATTCAGTTTATTCGAAACATCAGGGCTAATTGATTACCTTTGGAGTTGGAACAGTTGTTATTGCTGGTGTTGTTGTTGTTGCTGCAATAGTTGTTGTTGGTATGGCTAAGGGCACATCATCAGTGGTTTCGACAGATTGTTGGGAGGTACTTCCTTCTTTAGACTTCGAAGCAACGGACTTTATCCTGATGGCTGAAAATCGAAACAATTAAGGTAAATGTTAAAAATGAAGAAAGTAAGAAACATTTGGGATTTTCCCAAGCATTCGCACCTGCGCCTTGATTAGATATAATCGACATGGCAGAAAGGTCATATCGAAGATGTCCTGGGAAATCATGGAGCCAATGTCGAGCCCATGTCACAGTCTCAAATGGCTTTAGTTTCTTTTGAGATTTGTATTTGAACATCTCTTTGCAAGTCAACCACCAAGGGTATGGAGGAAACTAAGCCAGAGCCAGTTCTGAGGTAGGCAATCTAGGAAATTTAGGTGGATGCATTTCGAGTGCCAACCTATACCTATCCTCAGGTGACAACCCTGAAGGAAGTTTGAACTTAGAAATTTTTTCTTTAAATTTTTCCTTCAAGGTCTGGGATGCTCGATACACAGTGGTTTCCAAGCGTGTAGGATCATAAGTTGTTTCGAAATAGTTCTGAAAAGCCCTAATCTCTTTGGCGTGAGTGAACATACCTTTCTTGGAGTGTACCTGCATATCGAATGCATTAGTTAGTTTTTATGGAATGGAGAGGGTATCGAACATATAAGATTAGTAGAACTTAGTCCACCATTCCAGAAAACCCTTCGCTGTGAAGTGTGTGGGTTCAAAAGGTAGTAGTTCAAATTGAGCGAAGTCTTGATATTGTTCTTGTTGCAGTTTGGCTTCTCTTGCTTTAAAGGTTCGACCAGAAGTGATGGCACTCTGTGTTTGGAACAGAGGTTCAGGGATTAACTGACGCAGGCCAAATTGTCTGGAAACAAAGTTAGGTTGATAGGCAAAGAGGAAGATTTGATTCTTGGAAGGAGTGATTCGTGAGGAAATTAATCTAGGAAGCAAAAAGGCTTTCCAAATATCTTGAATTTCTTTACTTTTAACTGCTTCTGAAAGAGACAAGGTGAACCATGATGGTCCATGAGTCCTTGAAGCAAAGGGTGCCATGGTCTCTTCAAATTTGTGTCTTTTGGAAAAAATCATGATGTAGTTTGAGAAAAGGACCTTGAAGTCATCTTTATCATCATTCGGGGTGAGTTTTCGCAGCCTTGTACCTTCAATAATTCTATCCGCTATCTCCGGATCTTGTTCAACAACAGTGTCAGCAGTTGATAATGAGGATTCAAACATGGCATTAAGCCATAATTAGAGTAACCAGAAGGGGCCAGCTAGAAGGATGTTTTTGGGAGTATGGGATTTCAAACTCGAAACGGCTGATCTTAAGCTTTCGTAAAGATCAACAAGTAACAGTTTGCTCAAACATACCCTCCTATTCTCATGTAAGTCTCTAGCTAAAGGGATGAACCTGCTTGCTACCTGTAAGGACCTGCTACAGAATACGTATCTTGATAACCATAAAGTGAGAAAAGCAATATGTTCCACATCTGACACACTATCTCCTTCAGTGTGGTAATGGCTAATGAATTTGGAAAAACTGGCTAATTTGACATCGAAGTCAATAATGCTGGAGTGTTCTTCATTATCAGGGATGTAGGTTTCTCCTACTGGTGACAAACCAGTGATGGCTGCTATATCGAAAAACGTGGGTGTTATCATTCCCCCAGGGAGATGAAAGGTGTTGTAGGTGTTGTCCCAGAAATATAAGGGTGCAAATAACAGTGGATGACTATAGGTGAAGCCTGGTTTCGATAACTTAATCAGATTATAGATTCCTAATTCCTCCCATTGCTGGGATTTCTTGGCTTCTACTTTGGTGAGCCGGTTTTGGTAAGCTATGTCAGAGGTAGGGCAGGATCGGAATGGTTTAAAGTTGCTCTTCACGTAGTCTAACACAAAGGGATCTTTTGGGGGAACGGTTGGAGTTTCTATGGTTTTCGAATCAGAAGACTCGCCTATCTTAGGGATATCCATCTTATTAAACAAGGGTTTAAAGTTGTAACAGACATGGAAGATTTTTCTAGTATCTTTCAAGATTTCAAAAACTGTAAGAGGACCCATTAGAGCAAACCTCTTTCCAGCAGCGTTAGTTGGAATCAATACCTGAGAGGCGTAGAGCATTTCCTTTTCCTTGGAGATCATTTGAGGGATAAGCACAGATTGACCTTGATAAGTACCGACCTTGCTTTCCATAATTGTTCCTGTGTTCTTGCTTTTCTTCTTGGAAGTTTTCTTCAGTTGGGATGATGTTGTTGAAGACATTGTTGAAGATTGTTGGAAGTTTTAGGGTTTTAGTAAGAGGAGAGGAAGAAAAAGTTTCAGAATGTGAAAAAAGAATAAAAGACTAAGTTGATTAGTTTTTATAGTGTGGAAGCTTAAACCTCCACTAAGTGAGACTAGGATACGTGGGAGTCGTGGGTTGGATTGAGGAGGAGGTGGCGTAAAGGCTGATATTGGTAATAAGCGTGATTAATAATAATCATTGTTTTATAACCGCACCATGCTGTGAATACTGATTCAAGACGGTTAAGAAATCCAAGAGGCGTCGTGATTGACGTGGTTGAAGTCATACACAGTAAATGTTATGATTACTCAAAAGTCACATCAAAATCTTGCAAATATATTTAAAATAAGTGTTTCTCAAAGGATCGAAATACATATTTTAAAGGGGCATTTTGTTGGCTGAAGATTTTGATGATACAGTTTGAAATGAAGCAATATGGATGTTTCGTTGGAATAAAGCAAAATGTTACAGTTCGGAATGGTAGAAGCGGTTCTTCGAACGGACATGTCAAAGCTCGGAGCTTCGAGTGACAGTTGTGAAGATATATTTAAAAGAAGCCTCGAAGTGGTAACGAGACTGTGTCTGTGAAATGAGTTCAAAGCGAAGATTTCCAAGGCATTTGAAATTCAAACGCGAGCGGGATGTTGGAATTCAAATATATATGCGCTGGAGCGTTCGAAGACGTATGGAAGCTAGAGAGGAGCAGTGCTCTGCATGTTCCGAACATGGCAGAATCTTATAAGCAAGACCGTTATGGTCGAAGTAGTATAAATAGAAGTCTTAGTGTTAGGATTTCGTGTGTCATATCTATTGTACAAAATTCAGTAAACATTCAAAATACCACATGGATAGGGAAACGAATGCTCGAACAATGTACGTATGATAACACCAAACATTTATAATTCAGTAAAACTCTTTATCTTTTCCAGTTTATCGTCCATTTTCATGTCAATGTCATTCAATACCTTTACATTCAAAGTCATTTACTTATTTCTTGCATTTAAACGCTTTTCTTCTATTCGAATCCTTTACATTTCAGAAACTCTTTTACATTTCATGCTTTTATATTCATGCTTTTTACATTAAAGTCTTTACATTCAAAGTCATTTACTTATTTCTGCATTTAAACATTTCTTTGCAATCGAATCTTTATTCATTCAATTCAGTTTCGTATTTCTTTACTTGATCATGTCATTAGATTCTTTTAACATGGTAATCGAAGTGAATTGAACGTCTATAAAACATTCTAAATACAAATCCTAACTATGAATATCAATTTTGCAATTAGATTTATCCAAACGACTAATACCCCATAGGATCAATCTATTCGATCTTGCAAGTTACCAGAGAGATTAAATAACAGTCATTAAGATTATTTGATAGTTTGAAGGACTAGCGGTTGTTTACCAGAAATCACTGTAAACAGTCACACATCACTTCTTCAGAGTCAGAACTGATTGCTAATAGTTGCGCACTAAATAAAACTATTAGGGTACAAAATTGTTCTTTTATGAAACTATGTACTGTTATCATCAAAAATTAAGGCCATGTGCAAAATCAAATCTTGTAATTATAACCTTTATTTTTTTGATGATGACAAAATCATGTATTTTAATGAACAATTTTTTACTTGGTTTAATCACAAAACTTTTCAGAGCTCCTTGATCATTCAAAATTGTCAGAGTCATATTTTTGGGATTAGAGAGAGGAATATAAATATATCAAAATAATATATATGTTTCTCCCCTTTGTCATCAATCAAAAATGGATGAGAAAAAACGAAACTTCATTTGATTAAACCAGGTAAAGATACAAAAACGACAAAGAAAAGCTTGACTTTCTTAAAAAAAACTTAGAAAAGACAAATAAAAAGGGTTTTAGGTAGGAGGTGGCAGCCTTGACAGAATAACTGACAGCATGTCTTCAGCCTTGGTATCGGTATGAGCATGTGCCTTGAACATTTCATCTTGCTTATTCAGAAGAGATCTTACAACTTAATTTTCTTGCTTGAGTTCTTCCAGAGTCTTCATTACTACTAGAGGCATGGAATCAGATTCAGAAGGCTTCTCGGCTTCAGAAGTAGTTTCAGTCTTAGACTAAGAAATGACTTGTTGTTCAGGAGGAGAAGTAACTTCCGTCTGAACCTCTTATTCATAGGTAACCAAGGTAAGATCAACTTTTGGTGCATGAGGAAATTTTGGTTTAAACAACTCCAGAAGAGGCCCCATAATGCCAGATAGTTTTTCATGGAATTTTTCTGAGTAGTTTCAAAACAAATTTCCTTCAGCTGCCAGAAACGAGAATTGATCCATCTTCTGAAGTCAATCCAAATTGCATCACTCTCAGCAAGGTTGACATAGTGTGTGAAAGACCGTGTGAGAGAACATAGACAATCATTTTCTTCATAATCAAATTGTAACATTAATTTATCAACATTTAGTTCAGGTTCAAGTGGGGTGTTGAGGTTTACTTGGGTCCTAAGAAAGTTTTGGTCATAAGGAATGGTTTGAGTGGTTTCAAATTCTGCTTCAACCTCAGAGTCATATGAGACTAAAATAGTTTCATATGAGGAGTCACTGGAGGAAGAATGATTTAAGATATGGTCTATATGAGTGTAAGTGATAGTAGCACTAATGATATTTGGTTGGATAGGTGGTTAATGTGTAGGATATGGAAATGTAGGAAGTACATGAATGAAAATGCGAAAGGATGTATGAATGGAAGATGTAGGTTGTGGTTCACAAAGGGTATTCTCAGGTTGTGGTTATTGGGATTGTGAAAAGTGTGGTTCAATATTTTGTGGTTGTATAGGTTCAGATTCAAAATGGGTTAGTTTCAGGGAGAATAGTTTCAGAGGGTTATGGGTTAGATGGTTCAGTTTCATATGGATTAGTTTGAGATGGGGTTGAGGTGGAACATTTTTTTGGTTGAGGGGTAGTGATGTTTCCAAACGTGGTACTAGAAGGAGGTGTTTGTGGTATAGGTTGATAGGGTGAGGGAAGATGAAGTGTTAACAACTTGTTCAGAAGACAAAGATGTATCGGCAATGAGATACTTACCAGGAGTTTGATTCTAAGTAGGATAGACTTCAGCTCTCTCAGCATTCTCAAAACCTTCAGCTCCAGCTTCCAGAATAGTTCTCATAGGCCTGCTCATGGATTCAGAAGTCTTATCCATCTTTTCTTAAGACTTAACATGTCCAGAAGGCCCGTCACCAACCTTTTTGTATGCTTTCCATTTCTTCTTGAGAATAGGTTCAGGAGGGGAATCTAGAAGATTGCAAGGGCCAACTAAAGGTTCAACCCTATATTCAATGTAGTCATCAACATATGCCTACAGGATTTCAGGAGGATCCACTTTGGTAAACACAAGATATTCAACAATGGCTATCCTTCTTGAAGATATTACATCCTTATCCAGAATCTTAGTAGGATTAATAACTTCAGTGGTCAAAGACATATTTTTGATATTCCTCCCATTGGAGGTCTTTCCAACATTTTTTATAAGCTTTTTAGACATATTCAGCTTTTGCAAAGTTTTTGCAAGCTTGCTTTAAACAAGCACATCATAAATTAGTCTTCCAATAGGAGTTCACTTTCTGATTTTTTCACCGCCATCTCTGATCCCCTTGACTAATTCCCACATATACTTGAAAAGAATTGAAGGCAAGTTCATCTTGATCCCAAAAGAAATATAATACAACATGTACTTCTGATTAGCATTGATGTAATCTGAATAATTACTTAAGGGTCTATGATGAACACACCCCAGAAGAATCCTTGACCACACTCTGAGTCTTTTATAAAGATTCTTCTCATTAGAATAATTTTTACCATCTTGAAAAATGGCAGCAGCAATCTCATCCATCTTTGCACCTTTGGAGGGCATATCAAAACATCTTTTGCCGGAACCATCATGGTTAAGAAGCTTGGCAATAGATTTTTCAGTAATGCAAAATTTCTTCCCCAAAACATACGAAGAAGTTTCTAGTTTAGATTTCGTATCATGAATCTAAAATTCCTTAATCAGTGCAGAAAAATTTCCCCTTTGATACAATTGAAAAACTCTTCCCAACCCTGGGATTTAACATCTCTAGTGAGGTCGTAACAATTGGTTTTTAGGCTATCAAAATCAACGATCATTTTGCATAAAACTTCTAAATCTTTGACCCGAAGAGATAGAAAGATCTCTTGAATACCTTCTTTCTTTGATTGTTGTTCTTGCTGATGAGAAGATTGAGCTTGCTCTTGAGATATGTCATTTATGGCGAAGAAAGGGGTTTTTGGTTGCAAAGAAAACTTAAGGTTTGAAAGAGAGAAAGTGTGGGTTGAAAGTAGCGTAGCGTGTGAATAGTGAGAAGTTGGTTTTTAAATAAGTTTTGTAATGATGACATAAAATCTTGAATAGTATATATATCTGACCAAAGGAGACGTGGAGTGATTTTTCCTATTTCCAATAATATATTTTCCCAATGTGTCACTCAACCGTTAGAGTGTTTCATTATTAGAAAGATGTCTTACTTTTAAACATAAACTTTTGTTTGATTGATAGTTATTCAATATTATCAACTCTTCAGATTCTAGAAGGAAGAATTTTTCAGAAAGGTTCTAATAGTGGATGCTTTTGATACAAGAAACCTTCTCACTTCAGAAGACTCACTGCTTAGAAACTAGAAACCCCATAGTCTCATTTTATCATTCTGAGAATTAATCATTCTTAGATATTCATTTTTTTCATTATGGACATAAGTCAATTTTTAAATGTTTTAGAATGAAAACAAATTTATTGATGGTTTGTATCAATAAATTTAAAATTTAAAAATCCATTATGAACATAGTCTCGTATAAAATGATGTTTAATCTCAATATTCTCAATATTCTTAACTCTAGAATGTAAAATGAGATTCTTAGATAAACATATACCTGAGGCATTATGACAAAGAATATGAACTTTACTCTCATATATCTGAAAATCTTCTAGTTGGGTTTTCATCCAGAAGATCTAAGTGTTACATCTAGATATTGCAATATACTCAACTTCAGTTATTGACAGTGCTATTGTTGATTGTCTTTTGTTAGACCATGAGATTAGATTATTACCCAGAAACTGACCGTTTCCATAAATAATTTTCTGTTCTAGTTTACCTCTGGCATAGTCAGCATCAAAATAACATACTAGCTTGTACTCTTTTGATTTTCTATAACACGAGCCAATGTTAGTAGTACCTTTAAGATAGCAGAAAATCCTCTTAACATTTATTAAGTGGGACTCTCTAAGATCTGATTGGAAGCGAGCACATTTACAGACGATGAATAAAATGTCAGGTCTAGAAGCAGTTAAGTATAAGAGATAACCTATCATACCCATGTATACCTTTTGTTCTACCTTATTGCTTATTTCTCCTTTCTCCAGAATACAAGTAAGATGCATTGGAGTCTTAGTTGGCTTGCAATCTAACATGTCAAAGTTTTTCAAAAGTTATTTCGTATATTTGCTCTGATGGATATATGTTCCTTCTGAACTTTGGTTAATCTAGATTCCCATAAAGAAATTGAGTTCTCCTATCAAACTCATTTCAAATTTTGCCTGCAGTGACTCAGCAAACTCCTTGCACAAGGTAGCATTAGCAGAACCAAATATAACATCATCCAAATAAATTTGAACAACTAGAATGTCATTTTTTAATGTCTTACAAAATAGAGTTGTATCAACCTTTCCTATGGTAAAATTAGTTTCTAAAAGAAAATTGCTTAGCCTTTCATATCATGCTCTAGAAGCTTGTTTCAGATCATACAGAGATTTTTTAAACAAAAACAAAATCTAGATTTTTGTGATTTTCAAAACCAGGGGGTTCATGTGCATAAACTTCTTTAGTTATGTAACCATTTTGAAATGCACTCTTAACATCCATCTTATATAAGATGATGTTATGATTAACAATAAATTAAATTAAGATATGAATAGACTTTAACTTTGCAACTAATGCAAAGGTCTCAGTATAGTCAATTCCTTCTTGTTAACTATAGCCTTGTGCCACCAATCTAGCATTGTTCCTTACCACTTCTCATTTCTCATTCATCTTATTTCTGAAAACTCATTTTGCATATATGATTGTTGTATAGGACTTAGGGGTTACTGATAAGCAGGTGATAGAGGAGTTCAGCTTCTGCATGGGTGCTCATTTCCGCCTATCTTGGTTGTGGAATATGTATGATGATCTAGTGTATCAGGGTACGTATGAAGCATCAGCTAGTGTATACATATTACATCTTGTAGGGTATACTATCTTAGTGGATAAGTCTGTGTATATATCAATGTGAAGTAAATGTGGTTATTTACTCGCCTTGAGCATTACAGCTAGTTGGGCATTGGGGTATGATGCATTGATTGTTCGATATGTTACGCTTAAAGAAGCGATTATTTTTTAGACCATACAACTTATCGGTTATATGAGTCTATTTCAGGTATAACCAAATTATTATTTCTTATTATGTTAGGTCTTTTATGACATTTTTATGGTTATCTGAGTCTTTGTTATTGTGTTGTGCTGGATATACGAATATTTCTCATCCATTTGTGATAGGCAGGTTGTGTTCTACCACTACTGAGTGCCCACAGACCAAGATATGAAGGGGCAGGCATGCACACCCGGGAGGTGTTGCAGAGTATAGGAGGAAAATTGATGCGCTGATTGTAGACTATGTCATCTGGAAACTCTACACAGACCATAGAGTGCATCTGGAGTTCGTGACATTTCACTTTTTTGGTTATCTACGATGGGAGACGTTAGTAGCTAGAATCGTATTTGAGAGATGTTTGTGCCAATTTGAATATGTCCAAGACATCACACGACCAGACCTCGTTATTCCATTGAGGGCATTGATAGTTGGTTTGTTGGTCATATTTTGGATTCTGCACGTGCAATTAGAGATCGTGCAGTGGATGTTTTGTTCCCTGCGGAGTGTGTGGATGGGTACTTGGAGTGATACCTTACTGTATCACACTCTCGCATCACCCGACCTAGGCAGCATGGAGATGATGTTAGACCTTGTCATGTTGGACCTTCTCATGTCGGTGTTGGGGTACCTTATCATGACGTGTCGTCGCCTCAACTGCCTCTACATGGTGCAGATGACCCTCAGTTCCTGCGGATGATAGCAGTCATTAGGCATAACCTCATAGGTTTGGTGAATTCAGATGGTGAGGTCTATAGTTTGACAACGCTGACAACACACATAGCATGTGGGGATCTATTTAACCATATTTTTATTTTTTTATATTATTTGTATATTATGTGTAGTATTACTTAGACAATTGTACAATACTATTTATTAGATAACATTTTGGCACTTCCATTGATGTATGATGAACATAATTTAACGTTTGACAAATGATTATATAACTTAACAAAATAATACTAATAAATAAGAAAACATAAACTCTACCGGATGATTATGGATATTTCAACATCTTAATTATCATCGACAGATCTAGAATTTGTCGCATCAAACTCAATCAATCTCTTAGTTAGCCTACAGTGATATGTCTTCTACATAACTTTCAAATCTTCATCAGTCTTCAACTCCATAAGGTCGTATTTCACACTTCCATCAATATTAATCCAGTCTGCACAAACTCAATCTTACTCACATTTTTGTTCTCGGTGTCGGGGAACATATTATTCAGCTTGGATCTCATAATAGAAAGACATGTGGTGCCCTCCGAGAGCTGAAACTCTACATGAGATTTTATCCCGTTGAAGTACACTTTTGCCTTGAACAAAAATTGAGCATTGTAAAATGTTTTTCTAACAACACATGACCCCATATTTATACAACTTTGAAATCACTCTAGACCACACAAAACAGCATACAAAATTGTTGGCAAAATTTCAACTAGTATACCCAACAACATATTGGATTTTTTAAATAACTACTGAATTTTTAAATTATTAATGAACATTTTACTGTTCTATTGGATTTTTTGATAAAATTTTGAAAAAAATTAACATAAATATTATAAAAATATGTGAAGATATCAGGTCAATATGGGAGCGTGTCAGAAGAAAGTCTCCTATTTTGGTTAATAGGCCATAATATTGGTCTCGCAAAATAATCAGTTCTTTGAACCGAATAAAGTTTTAGAAATTTTTTATA